GAGTCGCGGGAGCGAGAAGTGGCTGTTTGTCACCGTACGTGGCGCAAACAAACGTACACCTACTCTGCTGCTGCTGCTGCTGCTGCTGCGCCACCTCTAGCTCTCTTCTCTGTACACGCTCCGTCGTCGCTCCTTTACTTTTCGACGAAATTTCCTACTATGTATACGTATATACTACTACCAGCTATGCACAGCTCCGTATGATATTGCCGACGCCGAGGTAGAAGCGAAACATCAAGAGGATGAATTTGCCTTTTCTCTTTTTAACGCGTTCGCGCTCGCGCGCGCGCCTGCCGTGCTCTTTTCTCGAAACTGTATGCGTGCAGTGTATACGTGCACCCACACACACTCACCCACATACACGCACGCGTCGAGTCGTCAAATATAGACCGAATCTTCTTAAGGGAGTTGCTCTCTTCCCTCCTCCTCTTGCAGATACGTACCTGCCTGCCTGCCCGCCGCTCGCGGTGTGGCCTCGTTTTACCATCACGAAAAGTTGCGCATCCGCTATAGCAACTCTTGCTTGTCTCATTTTATTTTCTCTCTCTCTGTCTCTCCTCCCTTTCCTTTAATTGTCACATCGAGTTGGGGAAAAGTTACTCTCCGTTATATCCATTCCCGAGCAGCTACACTCTCCACAGCCAGAGCTCGCTTACTTAATTTTCATCCTTCCTGCTGCTGCTGAGCCGACTTCGATCTCGAGGGGTCTTTGGCGCTCTTAATCTCTCTCTCCGTCTATCCTATGAATATCTATCTATCTATATATCTGAGCGTCGTTACGCTCGAAAATCTTCTTTCTTTTTTTTTTTTCCTTTTCTTTTCTCGGGTGTACGTCCAAGCTTGTTTTCTTCTCAACGTCGAGCTCGAGTCATCGCATTCCCATAGAATCCTGAATGTCCCATATCGTACAAACACATCGCTATATAATATAACAAAAAAAAAAAACACACACAACGGCGAGAGAACAGAACAAGGAGATTCGTCCAATCAAGAAGCTATCTGGGGGTCTCTCGTTCTTTGCTTGTGTGTTTCAGGCGTCGAGCCGTACTCGGCGTCGCTCGATCTCGCAGGTACCGACTCGGCGCTCTACGAAGACCAACAGCAACAACACCAGCAGCAGCATCCGGACCAGCAACTCTCGGCAGGGGGGCCCAAGAGCCGACACGCGTATCCGTATTTCCTCTATCCGAACGGCACCGAGCCCAAAGTGCCGCCGGTCGAGCCGGGCTTCTACGAGCTCGACCAGGAGCTGGCCTCGAGCCTCGAGGAGCAGTACTGGCGACAGCAGCAGGGCTACGGCGGCCAGGAGGACGAGCGCCAGCAGGAGGCCACCGAGCAAGGTGTCGGCGGTAGGCTGAAACTCTTCTTGTATCAGGAGTCGGCGGCGCGAGGGCCGCCCTCGCCCGAGCTCAGCCGCAGTCTGACCGCGATACGCGCCTACGAGGCCGGCCACTGGCGCACGCGCTGGCTCTACGTGCTGATCAGTCCGTTCGCGAGCAGCGACGATGACGATAAAGACGACGACGATGACGATAATAATAAACATAATAATGACGACGGCAACGATGCATCCCAGCGTCCCACCAAAGTCACGACCTATTACCGTCCCCGAGCACCAAAGCATGATCTTCGTGAGCACTCCTATTACCTGACCAACAGCACCGGCACCAATGATAATAATAATAGCAATAATAGCACCACCACCTTGCACCAAAGCCACCAGCATGAAACGAATAATCATAATAATAACCACCACCTGCACAATCACCTGCACAAGCACCACCATAATAACCATAACCAGCACCAGCACCAGCACCGTCATCGGCAAAATTCGCACTTGCACCACCTGCAGCCTCACCAGAGCACTGTCACCAATGCACCTTCTGCACTTGCAACTGCACTTCCTGCGTCGGGCGTCAATGGCCAGACGACCAATCTGGAGCTTGACGCTGCTTCTTCTTCTTCTGCCGGTAGTGCGCTACCGATCGACCGACTTAAGGGTCTGCGCGAGGCCTTCGAGGGCTTCATCGATTCAGGTTCGTAATTATTCGACGGGGGCGATCCGATCTGCTATTATTACCGAAAGAGAGAGAGAGCGATGATGCATCGTGCAGACCGAGAGACGAGTATGAACTACATATTTAAATATAAATAATATTATGATCATTATCGATACCGATTTTCCCTGCACTTGATTAGTTTTCGATGAATATTGGTTTAGTGTCTGTTTTTGCCGAGTGAAGTTTGAGTTGAGTTTTGAGATATGTATACGCATGCATACGTACCATTATATTAGCACTATGATGATTATTATTATTCAGGAAATTTAAAGGGATTTTTGAGCCACACGTTGTAGAGTTTATCGCGCGTCAAGAACCGAGAGAGAGAACTTATCTATGCGTACGCATCGTACTATCAACCCCGCATATGCTGCGAAATTTGAAATATTTCTCTATACTACTAGCTCGCAAAACGTAGTAGCACATTTCTGTCTCTCTCTCGCTAGCTCGCTCGTACTCATTCGTGTTCTCTCTACATAAAGCCTATAGTACAGTAGTAGGAGCAGCTTCTGGATATATAACGCGCGGCGCGGCGCAGAGGCAGAGAGAGTTAGAGAGAAGATTGATAAGTAAATGTAGGCCAAATCATGAGTGTTTGCGGCCCGTGCGCCGCGTTATATTGTGTATGTGTGTGTGTGTGTGTGGCGCGCGATCGCAATTTGCGTGATGGAAGGTGTGCATTCACGAGAGAGAGAGAGTACCGAGTGAGAGTAGCGAGAGCAGCTGGAACTAAACTGCAACAAATACATCACTGAGTTTATATGCTGTGCTGTGCGAGCGAGAGAGGGAGATCGTGGACGGAGAGAATACCGAGCTAGTAGTAGTAGCAGGCATCGTTATTCGACCTATCTGTTTCCGATTACAAATTTATATGGAAACCTCGAGAGCCAGAGCTTAAAGATAAAACGAGGGGTGTATCAAAATGTCAAGAGCTCTATAGCTAGCTAGCTTAGCTGTACTACTCTACTGACACACAACGACAACGATCGTGGTGTAACTCGTGTACAAAAGTCGCGCGCGCGCGCTGCCATATATAATATCATATATATGAGCAATTCCGGAATTTAGTTTCGAATTTTTTGACTAAAAACGGAACGATTTTTTTTCGTTGGACGCATACTATGAACATTGGGTATTGTTTTTGAACGTCATAGGAAGCTAAAAAAATGCGTGAACATGAAATTTAAAGATAGGTAATTTTTTTCTCGCTACTTTTGTGTTTTAGGGCCCGAAAAGTCATGTTTTCGCGTAAATACGACAATTCATTCAATTTCTAAGTGGCTGAACAAGTATCAATACTTATTTTAAAAAAGTGTCTGACTACTCCATTTGATAGAAAATTTTCTCAGCTTTCCGATAGTAGTATTAGATTTTACAAAATATCAAATTTCCACCGAGAAAATCACCGCCAAACACGCCGAGCTAAATATCTTGAAAAAATCAGTACGGAAAAATAACTTTTGCAATAGTATGACGAAAAATGTCTTTTTTCGCATAATTTTTAGTGCGCAAAAAGCGTTTTTGGACAAGGGTGTGCGGTAAAACGCCTCATTTAAATGAACGTATTTATCGCCTACTATTGCATAAAATTTTGTATGCCCAGCTTGTTGCGCACAGTGTGAGGAAAAAACACCAACTCGTGCCGGCACTCGTGTCTTTTTCCGTCGAATTATGAGCGAGTTTTGATTGTAGCGAGCCGCACAACGCTGAAAACTTTGCGACCGCGATTAAAACAGCTCGGAAACAGAAAACAGCGAACACAGAAAAAGAAATTCGCTTTTATATCATTGTAATTCGACGGAAAAAAATAAATAAAGATATGCTTTGAATAGGAAATTTTCTCAGCCTTCCGATGGTAGTCAGGAGATTTTCCGAAATATTCAATTTTCATAAAAAAAAAATCAAAAAGAAACCATAAAAAGCTACTTTACCGTATTGATTTTTTTGAGATATTTAGCTTGGCATGTTTGGTGATGATTTTCTCGGTGAATATGCAATGTATCGAAAAATCTGATATCATCTATCTGATATCAATAGGAAAGCTGAGAAAATTTCCTATCGAATGGAATAGTCAGACACTTTTCTGAAATGAGTTTTGATAATTTTTCAGCCACTTAGAAATTGAGTGAATTGTCGTATTTACGCGAAAACATGACTTTTCGGGCCCTAAAACACAAAAGTAGCCAGAAAAAAAATTACCTATCTTTAAATTTCATGTTCTTGTACCTTTTTAGCTTCCTGAGACCTTCAAGAACAGTACCCGATGTTCATAGTATGCGTCCAACGAAAAAAAATCGTTCCGTTTTTAGTCAAAAAATTCGAAACTAAATTCCGGAATTGCTCATATACTTAATACAATACGCGCGCAGGGTTGTATACTGGATGATCACAGTGAACTGGCAAGCAAATACCCCATACATGTATAGAAGCAATATCATTGTATTTTGAACTGTGCCACTCGCGCGCACTCTATGCGCGCGGGTGTATGTTTGGTAAGGGAGTATAATATATAAATGTGACAAAGGCCAAAGTCGAGAGAGTGAAGCCAGGCAGCAGCCGATGGTAGCACGAATTTGATTTATGAATTTGCCTGCAATTGACGAGATATAGGACAATAAGCTCTGCGCGCTGTAGCTAGGCTATATATATATGTACTACTACCGAAGGCCAAATCCGTAGAGCTTATATAATACGTAAGCTTGCATACGTATTCATGCAGAAAGGGGCATACCACCCCTTGGCAAATGGTGATGATGATGATGATGACGACAATGATGATGATGATGTTCTCCTTATACACACAAATACGCACACACATAGAAACACACATATAACTCTATACACGTGTGTACATTGAGACAAGGAGACCAACAACAACAACACAAGGTAATTCCGGAGACAACAACCGACTGATCTGTATAATACCCCCCCGTTTTGCAGTGAACGTCATATCGAACAGCGACAATACGACGACCCTCGAGCTGATCGAGTCGCAGGTGCAGAATCCGCTGATCGACGCCGACCATCAGGATCTGCACGCGCTCAAGCAGCTGCCGATACCGAACGTGCCGCACCAGCACAGGATCGTCACGTCCTCCTCCTCGTCGCACGGTCATCGCTCTAAGAATCAATCGTCGTCGTCGTCGGCTCAGGCTGCACAACAACACAACGGCGGCTCCTCGGACGATCGAGAAGGTGAGTAGTAGTAGTAGTACAAAGATATGTGTAGAGATACGTGTATACCATTGATTATAGATATGAGGGGGTGGCGGTGTACGTATATATACGAGGAAAGGAAGACAAAACGTTTTGTGTTCCGCTGCATATGTGCACGCTAGGCTACATATCCGGACATAGCTGTGGGTATCATACCTCGAGACTCGTGCGCGGATCTATCTACATATACGCGTGCGGATAATGTACACTATGGGTTTTTGCGCCTTCACCCCGACGACGACGACGGCGAAGAATCGATGCCCCCGACGAGGATTTGAATCTAATTACGGGCTCGATATTATATTCGTTTCTTCGTCGTAATGTATAAGCGAAAGTTTCTTTATGTACGCGCGAATTCGCGGACAGAGGGGCAATTAATCACTTGTATAACTAAAAATTTCTGCACACTCGATGAAAATATGTTATACTCGCAAGAGAAGGTTTCAAAATTATATTCCAGTCACGCTCGGGCTGCTGCTGCTGCTGCTGCTGCTGTGTTGTCTTCCTTTTTGCACTTCGGTTTTCGGGGGTTATATGTATCGGATCGAAAGTTCAGAGAGCGAGAGAGGACGGAAGGAAGCCCCTCCGAGTGCCGCGCTGCTGCTACGCTCGCATATACGCGGCGCGGCGCGGCCCGCCCGGAACTACGAATTAAAGTTTGAAATCCGGCGGCTGGCTGCACAGCAGCAGCAGCAGCAGCAGCAGTCGGCAGCGGGGCAAATAATATGCGGATGAGACGCGCGAAAGAGAGCAGCAGCCTAGGCAATGCCTGCTGCCTGTGCAGCTGTGCTCGCGCGCCGCGCAGGAAATGAGACGTTTCGTGAGAGCTTATATTCCTCTCTCTCTAGCAGAGAGCTCCTATGGCCCTATGGGTCCGGTCGAAATTAAATTAAACTTTTCGTCCCGATTAATCTCTAGCTCTATCTCTCGCTCTTGCGCTCTCTCTTTCTCTCTCTCTCTCTCTCTCTCTCTCTCTCTCTCTCTCTCTCTCTCTCTCTCTCTCGCCCTGTTATCGATGCAAAAGAGAGATAGAAATCGCTCATGCCGGTTGAAAATTTTGGCGCACCGCCGCCTCTGTGTGTATATATAGTAGCGATGGTTTCTCCGTCGGGGGGTATAATAATTCACTGCTGCGCCGCCGCGCGCCGATTGGCAAATGATTAAAAGAATACCGATAGCACGAAACAACTCTTGAAATCACTAAAGGGATCGAGCGCGGAAGGAAGGAGCCTAGTAAACGAAATCTTCTTCTCTCCTCTACCGCTCGTTTTCTCTGTCGATCATCTAATTAAAGACCCACTCGTGAATTATTCATGACCGATTCAGCAGCAGCAGAGAGCTTCCAGCCAGCTCGGTATACCATAATACACAAGTACCTCGAGCCTGCTGCTGCTTGGTTTCGTTTTTCCAAAAAAAAAAAAAAAAAGGAGAGAGAAAGAGAGAGTATAAAAAAAACGTAAAAAAAAAAAATAAATCAATCACTCGCCCAGTGGCGCGTCGGCGGGTCAGTGTTGGAGCAGCAGCTAGGCAGAGCTAGGCAGCAAGGCATCGGCGCCGGGTAATCGCCGGATTAAAGGATAACCCAAAGGATAATTACTCGCGCTAGCAGCAGCGGCGGCAACGGCAACGGCAACGGCACGGCACGGACTCTGCAATCAATTTGCCAAGCGCGTGCACGTGCTTCTCTCTCCTTCTCTCTCTCGTTTCTTTCTCTCTCTCCTCTCCTCTTTCTTCTTTTTTTTTTCAATTCACTCTATAATCTTCTTTTCCCTTTTATTTCAACTGTCTTCATCGTTCTTATGCCACCCTCTCTCTCTCTCTCTCGGTGTAGCTATGCGCGCCACCCTCCTCTAATGATTTCCTTTTGTTCCGCTTCTTTTCACTTATATCGGCTGCAGCAACAGCGGCGGCGGCGGCGGCGCTTATAAACTCGCGCGCGCGCGTGTTATCGTCCGTATACTAATTCGATTGTCCTCTCGCGAGAGAGATTCTTTCATAATACGTGATACTGCGGGGGCCGTATTAGCGATTCTTTTCTTTCTCTTTTTTTTTTCTCTCTCTCTCTCTCTCTTGTATTTCCCTTTTCTCGCAACGTATGTAGAGCGAAACGCGCGGCACGGGGTAGTACAGTACGGAAAAGCTTCGCTCTCGCAAGCTCGCTCGCACTCTTAGCACATATTTGATCTTGGCAACGACGAGAAGAGAGAGAGAGAGAGAGAGAAAGAGAGAAGTGTATAGTGTATGAGTACATACGTTCGTATACGTAGGTACGTACAGTACGTCGTCGTCGATGTCGAGGGTTATACGCTCTTGAGACTTTTCTCTCTCTCTCTCTCTCTCTCTCTTTTCCTGTGTCATGCATAGTGCCATAGGCTCGGGCGCTGTGTGCAGTGCACCCGACGACGACGACAACGACGACGACACGAGGTTTATAGATGTATGTATGCATGTACGTGTAGGTGTGCAACTACGTACCGTACGTACGTGCGACGACAACCGACTAGACTAAAGTTTGTTTTGTTAAGACTTTGTGTGCGTATGTAAGCTGAAAATCAGAGATATATATACGTGTATATAACTGCACCTACCGGCTCTTCGTACTACTGCTGCTGCTGCTGCGCGTTTTATTATTTATTCAAGCATGTCAGGCAGCCAGCACGCGATATATATATTCTCTCGCGGGCGTAAGTGACGTATAATCATAAGCATCCAAACACAGTGGCTTAGGAATAAAAAAAGAAAATATTTTTCTACGCGATCGAGCGACGAGAAAGAAAGAAAGAACGAAAAAGACAAATCTGTATCTCTTGATTTATAAGTATGATAATGATATCGTGCTGTATGTGTGTGTGTGTGTGTGTGCCATTTCCATTAGTGAATCAATTTTTCAAGTATCGCTCGCGCTCAAGCTCGTCGGATTGATACGGTATTCATGAGCGCGCGAAAATCTGCATGAAGTAGCTGGCTAGCGCATAGCGCGTGGCGGCGCACACGTTTCCGAACGAGGTCAGATTTTTCGAGAGGATATATAAACCCTATATATAGTCGTCGTCGTCGTCGTCTCCGCAGCAGCAGCACTAGGATAGGATCAGCTGCAATTATCTTAATCACAAGANTTGATAGACAATTCGATAGACTAAAGAAGTCGAAAGAGAGAGAGAGAGAGAGAGAGCTGCGTGGCCCTCACATTATCGAGAAAAAAATGTCAAGTCATTATTACGGTCTTTACGTAATGTAGCATATACTTACCAGAGAGAGAGAGAGAGAGAGAGAGAGAGAAGTAGAGAAAAAGATTGCCCAGCCCAGTGCAGAAAGCAGTTGGTTGAAAAAGCAGACGGAAACACTGTGTCTCTAGCCGGACTAATAATTCCATTATCCCGGGGTATAGCTCCGAGGAGCCGCCGAGCGAGGCGAACGACGAAATCGCTGCTCGTTATCGACTGCGCATATATCTATGTATATATACGGAGCGTCGAGAGACTTATGATGCTCGATTATCGTTATCCCCTTTGCCTACTATAAGATCCTTACAACTTCGAGGGTACTGCTGCTGCACGGAGGGAGAGAGGAGGGGGGGGGGGGGGGGGGCGNTCGTGCGTCAAAATTATCGTCGTTAAGCATAATATAACTCCTTTCACCCCACACGAGAGAAAGTTGAATTTTTATGACCGCTACTAATAGCTATAGGGGTTGAAAATAAATCGAGCCCACTTTGTTTGATAGACAATTCGATAGACTAAAGAAGTCGAAAGAGAGAGAGAGAGAGAGAGAGCTGCGTGGCCCTCACATTATCGAGAAAAAAATGTCAAGTCATTATTACGGTCTTTACGTAATGTAGCATATACTTACCAGAGAGAGAGAGAGAGAGAGATAGCTCGAAGGGATCAAGAAACGGAAATCTTTATAGCTAGATCGAGCATCTCTCTCTCTCTCTCTCTCTCTGCGGCTGCTTCTGCTCACTACGGCGCCTTATCCATAAAGCGGAGGAGTGCTATATATACACACGACGTGTCCCTTCTGTTATACACGTGTAGTCAGCAGCTTTTCTCTCTCTCTCTCTCTCTCTCTTACTCGACCGCTAGCAGCTTCCGACCGAGCAGATATACATATATATAAACGGAGAGTTGAAGAAACTAGAGGAGAAAGAGAGACAGGGAGAGCTTGATGTACGACAGTCCTATATAGCTGTATAACGTAAGCCAAGCGCTAGCGCACGACGGGATAGGAGTGTTATTATCTTGCCACAGCTGCTCTCTCTGTCTCTGTTCACTCGTGTGTCATGTATATATGAGGCTAGTTATGCGGGATTGTCAACCTGTGTGAAACTGCCGTAATGAATATTAGACGATTACAAGTCTCTTTCTCTCTCTATCTCTCTCTCGTGCTGAACACGATGATCGTAAAAAGTTCGTTACATCGATTTTGCGCGAAAACGAGCCTCGACGGACCTATACTACTGTACGCGAGTGAGCTTTGTGCTTCTGGAGCCGAAGCGAGAAAAAAATTGAGCTTACCCCCGTTAATTAACTCAGCAATAAATGTAACTCATTCGCGATCGTACGAAAAAAAAATTGAACTCTGTTGGAGAGGAAGAAGAAGAAGAAGGTAAAGGAGAAAAAAGTGTCTGCGCCAGCGAAAGAGGCTACGACTACTACCCCTCCCTCGTACGTCTTAATAAAATGTGTCGATTTACACGGGGTGGTCTCTCTCCACTTATACTACCGAAGCAACAACTCGTTCTCTCTGCCTTCTCTTCTTTCTTTCTTTCTTTTCCTTTTTCAGACGCGAGTGCTTTTTTGCCTTACGTTCCTTTTTTTCTTCTTCCTCTTCTTCTTCTTCTTCTTCTTCTCGGTATTCACTCATATAATAGCCCATGCAAGCTCGCGAGCGCGCGACTCGTGTGTGACTGTGTAGTATGTGCCGCGGGTTCGTGCCAGTGTATATATATATATATACCACCAGCCACCCAACGCGATGGCAACTTTGTTCCAGTGAAAGCTTTTCTCTGGGAGAGCTTTTTTTTCACCCGCTCCCACTTACTCGGTTGCTGCACTGCTCCCGTTGTTGTTGTTGCTGCTGCTGCTGCTGCTGCCTTTCCTCGCGATGACTTTCAATGCACTGTGAACTACTTTTTGCTGTTATCCCAATAGCGATTCGCGCAAGATATATAACATTATCATCGATACAAAAAAAAAAAAATAATAATAATAATAAAAAGCTCCAGCAGCAGCAGCAGCGGAAAAAAAGGATATCCCATACATGATACATAATGTCCCCATCGTACCGATATACGCCCGTATATATGCAGCGGCCGATTACAGCTCAGCTCGCATGTATATATACTTTATGGATATCGCTCGTAATTGGCTTTTACTTTAACCCCTAAAAATCATGATGCACTTACCAAATTAAATCGCGCGCGCAGCTCCAATTTTTCCGCTCTTTCAACGCAGCCCTTCGCGATGAGGATGGGCTTATGCAGCTGTGTGTATATATAAGTGCAAGCTCCATAATTTAATGCGACGCGCAGCAGCTGAATTATTAATCGCGCGGCCCCCCGATTTAACGATTTCGTCCTTTGTCTTTATTCTTATTGGTAATCTTTCGCGTCGCGCCGCCGATGACCCCCTCCCAAAAAAATCGATAATCTCAATTGCCGCGCCGCGAGGGGCAACGCGCGGACATGCTTCGAGATATATACAGCGCATACACACAGTCTTTAACCACTCGACTGTTATGGAGAAATTTTCTTCATTTTTTTTTTTTTTTTTTTAGCTCATCGAGTGCCGGGGAGATTACCAAGCCTGACGCCCGAGAGAATATTTCAAATCCCCCTCCCCATACCCTTCTATTATATATCACTCGAGAGATTTGTAAGAAATGATTTAATGAGCAAAATCGAAGGTGGAAAACGAGACCCTATTATCTCGGCGTTTTTATTCTTCCTTAATTGCGCGGAGCGTTAAAAATTTGTCATTTAAAATATAAGAGAGAGAGAGAGAGACTTCTTTTTATCTTACCTTTTCTCTCTCCTTTGCAGATGGTCTCGCGGCGCCATCGTCATTACCGGACAACAACGAGAGGTTATTACTCGCTCAGCAGCAGCCAGCCAAAGTCGTTCTCTCCAGCACGTGTCATCACGCTTACACCGCTTGCAAGTGAGTATATTTATATGCATACACAAACACTCCGCCATGCCTCGTTAAAGATTAATAATATTTTTAAGATTTTCGAGCCGAGGATTAACATAATTGCGCTCCATCGGGGTTGATCGTATGATTCGTTGTCTTCTATTTTTAAAGTACACGAGCTATTTTCTCGCGATCGCGGCTATACCAATCTGATCCAATTATCCGCGTGGCTCGCTCGCGCACAGAGAGATCTTAACGGTGCAATGATTTTCTAATTTTAATCACCACTAGCGAGCTTATATTTACATTTGTACTCGGATATTGTACATAAGAAATATAATCAAATTGCTGTATGTATTATTTTTATCTTGGAAAATTCATGGTTCGATCGTGTCGTTGCGATAAACGCATTGCGATCGAGCTTTATGGATTCAAGCTAAATTTTGGAGGAATGAGAACCAGTCTAATGTTCATCAGATAAAATATATACGAATTTATATACGGGGATACACTGACGATATTTAGTTGACGAGAGTCGAACGATGACCGTTTATTAAATATAATTTTCATTGGGTTGGTTGGATTTTCACTTATTACAGAGCTTTTATTATCAATCAATAATGCTGCTGAATAATTAAGAAAGAACAAGTTAATAAGTAAATGAATAATTAAGTAACAACAAGTTAATACAAGATGAAAATATTCTATTGTTCCTCGCAAACTTAAAGAACTGATCTAGCATCCTGTATTGTCATTGCGTGCTTTATGAGATGAATTTTTGGCCAAACGATTTGTGACAAATCTCACACTCCAAGCATTTCCTGCGACCATATACTACGTTTGAGTGACAATTGAAGGTATTTTTTCTTTAAGTGACGAATCATAAAATTGAAGGGCTTGCTATGATCATGTACTACATTTATGTGAATTTTGAATCTACTTTTAAAATTATCACTCGTTTTGTAACTATGTTACTTTTTAAAATATTCTGATATCCAAATGATTCGTGGCAAATCTCACAATCGAACGGCTTGTGACGAATATCACATTCAAAGGGTTTGCTTCTATTATGGACTGAATTAAAGGTTGCCTTTTTGTCCAAAAAATTTATAATGTAATTTTAATTTCGCGAATCGGGTAATTGTTGAATAAATTAATTGAAACATCGTATCCTCTCGTTGTTGTCGTTGTTACGATCGACATGAAAAATTCCTCAAAAATCTTGCATTATCGTGTTACTCTTTTATCGAGCTTTCGCTATGAGCTTTTCATTAATTGAATTTGGATTTTAAATAAGCTGCAAAAATGTTGTTTCTGTTTAATTTACTAGACGGCACAAAACATTTCAAGTACAATGTTTCAATACATATTATTCTGAGAATATTCACACATATTTTAGATACGACAATACCGATCGATTTTATTGACATTTATTTATCCTATCAATTTAATTTCATCTAATTATATATATTACGCTAATTTTACATATTAGGCTAGTTATTTATGTATGAAAAAGTTATTCCTATTATTAGGCTGATTACAAATATATAAAAACTTAAGCAAATGAAAATTATTGCTTGTTTTTCGATTGTCTGCTTGCACAAACGAGTTTGATCCTCGCGCAAACGAATTTGATCCTCGCGCAAACGAGTTTGATCCTCGCGCAAACGAGTTTGATCCTCGCGCAAACGAGTTTGATCCTCGCGCAAACGAGTTTGATCCTCGCGCAAACGAATTTGATTCTCGCACTTAAGAACAAGCTCCTCGTCATCAATCAATCGGAAAATTTGGTCATTAGATAGGTAAGATAGACTTCTTGGACAATCATCCTTCATGAATGTATCGGTCGCGAATAATTCCAATTGGGGCCTCATTAAAACGTTCGCGATGTGTCTCTTTACAACATCTCGAGCGATCGGTTCATCGCCCAGATGCGGCAAACGCCAACCCCTCAGGTTTTTCAAAATTAAAGAAGCCTGCCTGTAACTCATCTGACAAATTTGTAGCAGCGAGGTGTCTCCCTTCACCCAAATGCCTCCCAATGTGCGAACGATGTCTTCAGGACGTGGCTCATCAGAATTTGGATTCAATCGAACCTCTCGTTTCAGTCGCTCAACCTCATATTCCAAGCGTTTCCCATCTTTTTCTCCAATAAAAAATCCATGGGTATTGCGCAATTTTAGGCGATATTCTTTCGTTTTTAAGTCTTTCTCTGCCCGTACAATCCAAGTATGTGCGTCTTTTTTTTCTGTAAATCAAAGGAAAGCACAAATGAATTCTGTGGTGGAAAGGCATAACGACTTAAGTCCATTTTTTTGGAAATCGATATTATGATGAAAAACACCTATATTTAGTGTCTACTTTAAGGTACAAAGGTCAGAATAGACGAATATAGCTTCTATCGTTAGTTTCAGCATTGTGCATAACAACTTAAGTCCATTTCGTGAAAACTGGGGAAAGGCAAAACGACTTAAGTCCACCTTTGTGAGCTCCAAAATATTATAGAGAATCTACTTTGATTTGAAAATGAAAGAAAATGATATTCAAACATATAAATAGCTCTCACATTCTTCGAATGTTGTGAATTTCACTATACAATTGGTACATTTAATACGCGAGGGGTCATTTTCGCGATTTTCAGTTTGGCCTTTTTTCGTTGCAAGACTTGAGATCTGACACTAGTATAACGTTAAATTAGCTATTTTATCAATATAAAATCATTAAATAAGGTTATGATCACAAACGGCGCGAAATTATCGATACTGAAAAAAGTGTGACTGCCAAAAGTGGACTTAAGTGCAAAGCGTGGAAAGGCAAAACGACTGAAGTCCATATTTTTTGCTCCGTATAATCGCTATGATGCGCCTTTCAATGTCATAAGTACATAGGTCAAAAGCTACCTCATAGTAGCTTAAAACATCATAGGTTCAGACCTCAACTCGTCCGCGTCTAGTTAGGCTGGCACAATCAACTTAAAACGCGTTTTTCTCGAAAACACGAAAAATGGACTTAAGTCGTTATGCCTTTCCACCACAGAATTAATCTCTGGTGTATTATGATTGTGAGGCTGAAAAAATTAAATGACTCACTAGATACAAGCTTCCTCGTATCATCCATTTCGTGTTTTCGAGCCGTCATCCAAAATTTCAGAAACTTCAATCGAGTATTGACATTTATTTCGACCCCATGCATCGACAATAAATTAATCATCTCAGGAACGTACAAAACGACCGGAAGGTACGATAATTCGTGCTCCGTATAATCGCTCACGCTCAACGACAGATTCTCGTTCAAATTGTTCGGACGCGCGCCGTGTCTTAGGAGGGCTCGCGTCGTGTCGTAGTCCAGTCGCGACACGGCCCACTCCAGCGGAGTCTGGCCTCGAAGATTTTGGGCGTCGATTCGCGCCCCGTGTGCCACGAGCAAGTCGACGATCTCGTCTACGGCCGACGCCTGCGTGGCCTCGACGGGCCTGTACGAGCCGGGACAGTCGCATCGGCGCAGTCGCGCCAGTCCGTGAAGCACGCTGGAGTCCCCAAGCCGGTCGCACCAATTCGGATTCGCCCCGCGACTCAGCAAGTATCGCACGGCATCCTTGCGCCTGTACTCGACCGCTAGGTAGAGCGGCGAGAGCGCGTAACCGTCGAGATTGACGTTCGCGCCCAACCTGTCGACGAATCGTGCGACTTGTTCGACGTCGCCGATCGTGCAGGCCCCGTGAAAGTACGTGAAGCCGTGCGTGTCGCGATAATTCTCCGTCGCGTTCCGCAGCAGATGAACGATGACGGACGCGAAGTTGGCTGGGTAGTTCTTGTGAGACTCGTCAGCACTTATCCTTGACCATCCAATGAAGCAGGGACCTGCCATCCGTAAACGTTATTTCGTGACTGTTCAGCACCGTTCTCTCGATTTTCTTGAGTTCCATATTTTCGCTGTATATCAATTACTTTTTGAACAAACTGTTAACACGATATAAATCGAAATCGAGGCTGGACTGTACGCTCGGAGAAATGGACGGAGATAAAGCGACACGGGCACACGTTGACCTCTTTCTCGGGACTATATGGTCGTACGAATACACGTGCGTGGCGACTCAACGTGTCCGCAGCCGTCGGTGAGTCGAGAGAAGGGGCCCTTTTTCACTTGTACATAATATTACACGATACTTTGGTTATAATTAGGTCAAAATGATTCCAGACAAACGCTCATTGTTTTGATCGTCGAGATCGTTTACCGCGCGTGTGGCGATTAATGTAATTCCAAATAAACACGTTTGAATTTCATAAGCTCGCCTCGTTATTTACTTATTCCATCATTTAATTAATACAATTTTTCTGAAATTTTCCGGTATATTACCTTGTTGAATATAACGAAGAGAAATGCTTACAATTTTGTAAGGATCGGCTCAATAGATTTGGAGATTAATTGTTGTCCATGCTAAAAAAACATCATCTTGAGATAAACGCGTGCAAAGTTTTGAGCTGACATCGAATGACATACGACGGTGTACTTTATCTTGATTTTGACTGATAAACAATCCAAAAATGCAATAATAATAAAAAAGATACCTCACGATGTACGACAGCCCTGTCTATAATTTTACAAAATCCATTTCTACTTTTTTCCCCCCCTTTAAAAGAGGTAAACGCGTTGCGATTGGCCATAATAACACATTTGTGTACGTTCTTTATCAAATCGGTAAGACATTTATTTAATGAGTGCATCGTATTTATCTTTGCAGAAACGATCCGAGCTGCTCGAATCTGCTGCAGCCGGTGCTGAGCCGCTGCGATCACTCGAGCTGCGCCCGGAACGAGTGCCTGTCGGCGCTCGAGCACTTTTACAAAGCCGCCGCGCACAAACACTCGCTCGAGATAGCTTTCTGCCTCTGCAGGTGAGTGTATACCGGTCTATCTGCATGAGTTTGATGAATTTATATACCACTGTGTATTTTCCGCGCGCATTGAAATACGTCTAATTCGAAACAACGAGGCAAATTATCGCACGGCTCAACAATTTTTCGTTGCATTTAATGCGCGCGTGTGAATATATAAATGGTTTAGAAGCGTTTAAGAGGCTTACTCCCGAAGGAATTTCTCGGCTCCAGCTGCTGCGAGCTTCGCTTTCGACGTGTTTCGTGCCGATAAAAGCGCGCGCGTCACGAGATGCGTCAAGACTGCAACAACAACAACGACAACAACAACAACACACATATTATAATGCTTGCTTGCTGAGGAAGCTCGAAGTATTTTATTTTATACATAATTTTCCACCTGGCTTAATATTCCGTCGTATTAAGAATGTATACGATAACTTAAGAAAGAGGAAACGCTTTTTAAAAAATTTCATCCCGACACTGCGTCGTTGCTCGCGCATTGCAGAAAATCCGAGGGCAAGAGGGACGAGTGCATGATGGCTCAGGAGAAGCTGCATCCGAGCTGCGCGCTGAGAGCCCCGGCGGGACAGGAGAAACCGACGTGCAACGCGCTCGCCACCTCCTGCCGGCAGCGACCTTCCTGCAGGTGAGAGCAAACTTTATTATCCGCATATACATACGTAATTTTTCACATAATTTCGAAGAGGATACGAAAAAATCGAGACTACCTCGTAAACACGCATTTTCGCGCTATCGACGACGATGCAATTCAATAATTCGTTATGCATTAATTTTCATCCAAAAACGCACGCGCACAGAGCGAAACTGGAGCACTACGAGCAGAACTGCGCCGTGGACAGCGTGACGAAGAAGTGCGCCGGGCCGGCGCAGGGCTGCCGCACGGCGCTGCTCGGCATACTGGGCACGGAGCTGCGCACCGCCTGCGACTGTCGCGGTACCGATTTCGCGCCGATCTACGAGTGCCTCGGCTGGCAGCGACTGCTCTGGGTCAATCCTTGCGTAGGTGAGTGCGTCGAGCCAATTTTTCATCACCAATCATAATGATTCTAGATGCTATGTATAGGATAGAGAGTATGACGTACGAGTTCTTTGCCCTCGAAAGGATTATCGCGCGATGCACTGCAGTAAGCGCGACGAGGAAGCTGCTTTCACGACTTCGGGTATAAAACGAAAACAAAAAAGAACAACAACGAGCATCTTTTAACGTTTACTTAGGGTATAATTTCGGTCTTGCCTCGCGTAACGATCTTTTTCTCCCTCTTTTTTTTTTTTATACTTTACAGTTGCTACTTCCTTTTTTCTTAAACTCGCTTTACGCGGCCGCTCAAGGGAATTATACGAGGCACTTGAAACCGAGGCTTAAAACAATTACAGCGGCAGCAGCGTTACTATAACACGCGGCTATAGCAGTCGACAGTGAGTTATTCTCGTTGTTTTTTTTTTTTGCTCCAACTTTCTTGTAAAATAATGATTAACTTTATGAATTTAAGAGCAAAGGGGGGTATATACGGGGGTTGGGGGAGAGAGAGAGAAAAAAACGACGCGATCATTAGCTGCAGAGCGAGCGCGGGGGGTGGCGCGCAGCAAACTTCTTCTCCCCCGAAAAAAAAAAAGAACAAAAGTCTCTTTTGAGACCGAGAGAAAGTCCACACATACACACACACACACACACACACACACACACACATACAGCAGCAGTAGCAGTTTTTTACTGACCAAATGGTTTTCGCAAGAGCTGCGGGTGCTGCTGCTGCTGCTGCTGCTGTGTGTATATTCGCGAGCGCATACATACCAGCTAGAGCTAGTTGTAAACATCGAAGTGTATCTGCTGCGAAGTGCACAGTGCCAGTATATATATAGTAGCCCTATATAAAGTCATGGCGTACATAGCATGGAGTATATAGCACGTGTTTACACGCGGCGGCGGCGGCAGGCACGGGAGGGTAGGTGGGTAGCAGCAGCAGAGCAACTTTCTACTTCTCTGCACAACGGCGCACAGTACTTATACTACTGTGCTGCATGTGGCAAGGCGTGTGCGGCGTCGTCGTCGTCTCCGGCAAACTTTTTTCTTCTCGCAGCAGCAGCAGCATCAGCAGCAGTAGTAGTTGTTCTTTTTAACGAGCCACGCGCGCACCGGGAGGGCTTCGCGTATTATGTTTACGCGATACTTGGGACATTTGTGATAACGGCCGTAGCGCGCGCGCCCGGCGCAGCCGACGCGTATACACGTATTGTAGCATGGATATATACACGGATTTAAATGGCGTGGTCCTATGCGCGCGCGTGTGTGTGTGTACTCCTCTGCTGCTTTTTTTCAACTCCCTCGCTCGCGCTCACACCCCCTTTCATCGAAAGTACGTACGTACGTACTTATAGCGAAGCAGCGAGCCACCGGGGTATTATAAAAAGAAAAAAGTCCGCAACGAGCCGTCGCGTTGTTGTATACGAATCTCTCCACGCGCGTTTTCACGCCCGCGTATCGTTATTATCATCGCGATCAACGGGGATTTAATAACTAGTTAAGTGATAGGGTGGTAGCGGCGGCTGCGCGCGTGTAAGGAAAAAATGCCGTAAAGTTTGTACGTCGCGGGTAGCATGTGCTGCTTCATCGCATACAAAAAAAAAAGCAAGTAAAAGCGAGAGAGGAGAAACATCCACTCGAGTATACTCATTTAACCACTTAGAGAAAAGTATGTATAAGAAAAAGGCAAAAAAAAAAAATCAAACGTTAGCTGAGCCACCATCGTACACAGGCACGCGCGCGCGCACACACACAGACGGATGAACGGATGAACTTACACGTAAAAATGTAGTGTAGAGCAGCTTTTCTGGGAAATTAGAAAAATTCCGTTCGCACACGTGTGTGTGTGCGCGTGTTTGTATAGGATATATACCTACCTACGACGGGAGAATCCTCTCTACGGCTCACCCGCGTCTTTTCCTCTTCTATCTTCCTTCTACTCCTTCTTCTTCTTCTTATTTTTTTCTCGTCGTTTTCTTTTTTTTTTCTATCTATCCCACTGAAAAGTTGAAACGAGTTCAGGTCGTATATACTAGCTAGCTAGCTCTAGGTAGCTGCTCGCTGGCTATCTATGCTGTACGATAGCGAGCGAGTAGTACCCAGAGCTAGAGAGAGAGAGAGAGAGGTACACACCACTCTCTGTTGCTGCTGCAACTCCTATGTATGTCGAGGACAGAACGCGCGCGAGAATCGTGCAGAAAAGTAAGAAGAAAAAAACAGCAGCAGCAGCGATGCACTATACTGTGCACCGAGCAGCGCACGGATGAGAAGTAAAAAAAAACTTACACACAGCTTCACCCCCTTGCTCTCTATTTGGTTCCTGTTTTCTTTTTTTTTTTTTTCTATATGTGGTCTGTAAGTACTCCTATACATCCTATACAAGCGGATAGATATGCATAGGCCACTTTCACATCTATACAAATATAAGTACAGCACAGCCACCGAATGATCGTCGAATCGCGAGCAAAACTCTCTGGACAAACATACCCGCATGTATAGCTGCGCAGAGAACACGATGTTTTCGCGGGAGAGCTATAGCATAGCCTAGACATAGATAAGTCATTTTAGATAGTATAGCGAGAGCTACATCGTTTTTTTTTTTTTTTTTTTTTTTTGCGCCCGAGGATACGAAGACGAAGAGCCGATTTCTCGTATATATTTCTCGCTCTCTAGCTCTACGGAGTTCTCGTCGCCGCGCCGTAACACGCGCGGGTATATCTATGCAATTTGGAGGTATATTTTTCCCTCTCGTTGGCACGCCTCGTTGACCCGGTTACCGCGGCGTCGGAGCGTTCAAGTTCCCCCCTGTACATGTACATTCGCGCTTGTACAGAGTAAGAGAGCTCCAAAGGAATAACAAGCGTAACGAGAAAGGCTTTTTATTGCGGTCTACCGATGTCACGGATATGGTGCGCGAGATTTTTTTCAAGTCGAAATTTTTCTTTCATCCTCGTGTATGCAATATTCACGTATTGAAATTTCGACGTTATTCAGCCGCGGCTCAAAAGGACTTCCACGCGAGGCGCAGTCGTCATCACGGCCACGGCAGGTCCGGGACGAGCACCAGTGGGCCAGCGACGATAGCGAAAACGCCGAGGACGACGACGACCAAAACGACGACGACGACGACGCAACGAGCCACGTGGCCGACCGTCGTGACGCCCAGAGCCTCGCTGGTCGCGGCGACGAGCTTCGAGAGTTTGCCGGAAGAGGAGGTGGAGGTCGAGGAGGAGCGTCGCCACGAGGCCGAGGACAACAACGTCATACCGGACGTGCCGACGGTACGATCGATCGAGGAGAGTCATCGTTTTAACAAGGAGTCGATCGCGGCGGAGTCGGACGCGGCCAGCGCGACGACGAGTACGACGGCCACGACGACGCCGATGAGTTCGACCAAGGCTCCGACGACGACGACGACGACGACGACGACGACGCCGGCTCCGACTACGCCTAGCACGACGACCACGAGTACAGTGCCACCACGTGAGTCTTGATTATTTATTATTTGTAAGAATTTAGGGTGGATTGATATATTAAGTACAGAAAGAAATATCACGCGTACTTTCCAAGCTCCTATCGTTGGTTACACGGTTAAAAAAACATCAATTAAATGCAGATTTGTTGTAAAGTCGGAGGTTTAAAATTTTACCAATCGACACTGCATTTTTTTCGAGGGAAATTAATGATTGACTACCGATTTAATTATTGTCTTAATTTTACAAAAATGTTATGAAGCTTCAATCATAATTAAACTCATTCTCCACTGCTGGATGGCAAGTACCTCAATCGATAAATCTGCAAGTGGCAAAGAGAAAATAATTGTACAAGAGGCTGAGAATTGCAATACAATACAAATTGTGGTTGATGCTTTTGAAATGCCTTGTTTCATAAAAAAAAACCGTCATTTTGGTGAATGTAGATCTGATGGACAAGCTCTTTGTACATAACGTATTTGGTTGATTCTCCCGATGTCTGCTTTTTCGGGCATAGAAAATGAAAAAATGGTGAAAATTTTCTTTTTCACATTGAACGGCGTGAGCTAGTTTACCTTTTTTTAAACCATAAAATATGAGTAATCATTGAATCTGGGACCTTGAGATTTCGTTTTACGAAAATTGGGTCCAATTTTATGCTTAAAATTGATTAATTTCGGTTACGGAAGTGACACACACGGAGGTGTCAAATCGCTGCTTTGATCAACTAAGTATGAGAAATAAGAAACGCATACAATTTTCCGCACAACCCGAAATTCGCTCATGAAAAACGAGTCTTTTGACGGGGCGAGCGGTCAAAAAGAATGACCATGGCTCAAGATATTCATATCTACGAAGGTGACAGTTTTTTTGAAATACGTGAATTTTTCAATGGAATAATTATCGCTGCATAGCATAAAATGTAAAATTTGAACCCACAACTTACACTAATCGAAAGTTGGATCATAATACTTGACATTTATGTATTTAGGGGCATCAAAAATGAGTTAGCGACCCAAAGCAGGCAGTATATTTGAAATAATTTAGAAGCATGATTAAAATCCGAGACATTTTTCAATTGTGTGGGATCAAATGTTGGTGGAGGTAATTTTCACTATATATAACGTTATATCATGATATATCATAATTTATATACATCTCTACGACGTGATCTCGCCTCGCTTACATAAAGGGCCAAAACGCGCCAAAATAATTCTACCATTTGAACATCAGCTGATATTTCTTACTTCCATTTTTCTTGCTTTGTCAATAGAATCGAATCAGTTCAGATATTTTAGCACAAAAATGTCAATTTTATTGTTTCAAAAAAATTAGCAAGAGTTAAAGTCAAAATAATTGTATAAGTCATTCTATCGAGTAGCTCGTATTAGTCTAATCTATTTATGAACATCAATAGAAATTAATCGATCGACTTTTGTTAGATACCTTCCAATCGAATAAATAGTCAGAAAAGGTCAACGAACTTTAGCGTTCACGACACGCGTATACATGCTACGAAATCGAAATAGTTTCCGTTGTGTATACGGTACATACGTGTAACACACATGTCTCTGTGCATTACACGAATAATACCGGTGCAAAGGTCGCGTCGAAAAGCGTCGTCTCTTCGCTTCTTCCGTCGCATCTTCTCTTCTTCTTCTTCTTCTTCTCCAGCTCCTACTGCTGCTGCGCGATTTCTGGCAACTATTCAACCGGTGATTGTTCGATTTCACTATACCCCCCCCCCCCCCCCCCCNCCCCCCCCCCCCCCCCCCCAGCTGCACACTTTTGACGACAGGCTTCGAGCTTTTCTATAAAAAGTTCCTCCCCGAGTGTGCGAATATGTACTTACGTTTTCGCTCACGTGTGTGTACAGATAAAGATCCTTTTCTGCTGGCCTCTCGCGAATGTTATTTTGGCTATAGGAGAGCTGTCCGCTCACGCGCGAATGTCAACGAGTTACATACGAGTGTGTGTTGTGCGTGCGTGTGTGGGTGTGTGCATTTGTGGGGCAAATTCGAACTGCGCTGCACTTTGCGCGAGCGCGCGCGCGCAAAAAGCAACTTTTTCATTTTCATATCTGCTACTGTACTCGGAGAAACTGCCAACCGGTACATTTTCCTCTGCACGGGACATTTCTGTTTTTTTTTGTGTGCTCGTGCTTTGGCTCGATCGAAATTGACTTTTCTCTTTTGAGTTAAAGCACGAGAACAGAAGTGCTATGCTAAATCTGCAGCAGCGCGGGTAACGAGACGTTTTTCGCGAGCAACAGTCAAAAGCCAAAGCGGCGTGGCAGCGTTGGCGAGCCGTGGGGAAACAATCGTAATTTTACGCGCGCGAAGCATTTTTTTCTCTCGCTCTCGCGAACTTTTTCTCGGAGAAATATTTCCCGCGTGTTCGTATGTGTGCACGTGACACGTTGTAAAAGAGGTGAAAATCCGACCGTTTAAAAGCTTATATATACTTGGACCGTAGTCGCATACTTGGCGCCGAGGCCTTTGATCGGTTCTGTGTCATAGTTTTCTTTCGGTTCTCCCTCTTCGCATCTAGCGATCGACTTCTGTCGAAATGCCGATCATCGACTCGTAACACTTCTTTATCATTCACAAATAACACGTTCGAATGTGGATAATAATTGCGAGTAAATTTGTTTTCCAGCAAAAGGATAAGTGAAACTTTAAATACAAAACAAAAAATTTGCAAACCAATCCGTAACAGTGCAAAAAAAAAGGTTCAGCTCTTGCCTAGTCTTTTTCGCTCGGTTTACCTTCGCTTCTACGTCTGGGACACACAACGAATAAAGTTAAAACTGTGCTCGTAGCAGCAGCAAGTCCGTAGCTTGTTTCTAGCGGTACAAAGCCGGAGCTGGAAAGAACCTCGAAATTGTGATACGCAGCCGCTTTCGGCGGCGGTCCCAATGAGAGAGAAAACGAGAATAAGTGTGCGCGTGTGTGAGTGTGTTAAAGTCTGCTTGGGGTGGGCGTGTGAGAGAGAGAGAGAGAGTCAAAAAGACTGAGCATGCTTTGGCAAATCGGAAAAGCCACTTTGGTGGAATATAGCTCAACCCTCTCTCTTTAGCTGACTCTCTCTCTCTCTCTGTAGAGCTTGAGCTAAGCAAATGTTGTGCGCGCGTACGTAGCACAACGTACACTCACACACATACACGCATCTTTGAAATAGACGAGTGAGAGGCGAAATTTAAAAAAAAAAAAGGAGAGGAAAAAAAATGAGTAAGAAGGAAAAGATGAAGAAAAAAGAGCAGGCAGGCGAAAAAATACGACTCCATGGCGCGAAACAGTGTAAACTTTTCTCACCCTCGCGCGTTTATACATACATAGAGAGACATAGCATACATACTACTAACTATATATCTATATACGTATACGTTGCTCTCTCACATAGTCTTTATTCTCTCTCTTTCTCTATCGCAGGTTTTTGCGTTTATCAAAGGCCAAGCCAGTCGCACCAGCAGTACATACGCGAGGGTAAAGGCAAAAGGGTGAGTACATTACCTCTCTCTCTCTACTAGTCTACCTCTACCTCTCTGCACGCTGCCTGTTAGTATTATATACCTATACACACACGCGTTCGTATATATGTATAAAAGAGCCTTTTCGCAACGCGCCGCGAGGCCGCCTTCACCACCACCAGCGACGACGATCGTCGTCGTCGTCGTCGTGTCCCGGCTGTTGCTATATATACGTTACCCTGAGACTTCAACCTTTCTTCTCCTTTTCCTCGTGCGCTTGTATGTAAAGCAACACTTGTATGAGACAGCGCGTGTACCTACCATACATATATGTAGGGCCAGACCATGGCCTAGACGACTACCACCACCGGCTCGTGAAATTCTTATACATACGTGTAACGCAAAAGAGAAGAGCTGTATAGAGAGAGTGAAAAAAATGGAACGAAGGGAGCTTGCGCGCAACGTCGTCGTCTGACAGGATGCAAGAGGCGGGCGTTATGCCGCTGCGACTTTTTTTTTCATTCTTTGCTCGCTTCTTTTTTTTTTTTTTTTCTTCAATTTTTGACACACAAGCTCGCCCATATGCGACACACGGGCGGACTTTGAAATGTTTATGACGCGCAGCGTTGGTGGTGGTGCCTGCCGCCGACCCTGCCCTACGCGTTGATTCTTATGGCAGGCGCGTTACGTGTAATTTTTCGTCTTCGTCGTCGTCGTCGTCGTAGTTGCGCTAGACCTCGGCAAGAATATTTATCCGACTTTGTAATGTATAAATAGCGTCGTAACGCGTGGACGCGAGTTATTCCGTTTCTCGCAAATTTATATATCGAAACCGAAACTATATAACTTGATCATATGTACGAGTTCGTTTCGCGAGTAGAAAATAAAAATTCATAGAACGTTTAAAGTAAAGGAACGATATCAATTTTTTAAATTATTGCGCATACTTTCAATTCTGATACTGTTCGGTTTCGTGATACATTTACGCGTCCCATATCAAAAAGCTGAAACAGAATGTGTAGCATGCAACGAACAGACTAAAACTATAGCATTCCACTGTGCCACTTCATAAAACCAATCAGTATGCTTACAACTATTCACGCCATTTAACCCATCTCCATTTCAAGAGCAAAAATTTACCAACTAATTGTTCGTTCTTTTTTTTTTACTCGAATCGATGAAAGATATACTTTCACGCGGCAATGCATCCTTTGCTCCTTTTAGTTTCATTTTGAATTTTAATTGTCCAATTGCATTTCCATCTGTACTTGATAAACCGACGAATCGTGCGTGTTCCTTGCATCTGTCCAGTTTTACAAAGACAGCGAGCCGGACGAGTGCTCGGAGCTGTGCCAGTGCGGCGAGGGCGAGCGGCTGACCTGCAACGTCATCTGCGTGAAATCGTCGCCCTGCAAGACCGACTTCGCCTTTTACAATCACGCGGCGCCGGCCTATCAGGCTTACCGGGGCCGCTGCCTCTGCTACAGCGGTCGCTTCATATGCATGCGGCCGTCTCCCGGTGAGTACCGCACCCAGCTGCAACTTGAGAATAACAACGAGACAAGAAGCTATTTTCATTTTTAAATGTTTATAAGAGGTGTATTCGTTATTGAGTGATTCGAATAATTTACATGTTTAAGATGTGACTTACGATTAACAAACGAGAATCGAGATTATTATACGAATTAATTCTACTGAAAAGCGTAAAGGATATAAACTGTAATAATAATAATTATTTCCTACCATATCTCGTTCGCAGATACCTACAATATACCGCACGGAGTCTTCATGTTCCTCGGGTACAGCGAGACCGATGAAAACTTGCTCAAACCTTTGAATAATTTGACGGTGGTAGATGCCGTCGTCTCGCTCGACAATTTCATGCGAGAGGAGGTCAATAATCAGGTACGCTATGTACTCAAAAAAACCATAATATTAAAATCGATGACATGGTTAAAATGCTCGACTTTCATCAAATGTCCAAAAAATACATTACCATTTTCTGATACAATTATGATGTGAATATTAAATTACCTTTAAATGACAATGTGATCGCTTCGATAAATTTACCACTTTAATTATGATAGTATCAATTTCCCCGGCTAGATGGCGAGTACCTTAAATTTTGTAAATCTGCAAGTGGCAAAGTCACAATAATTTTATATAAATCGAAGCACGCTACATAGTTTTTTATTGTATTTGGTCTATTTTATTGGAATCTTTCATTTGATAGGACAATTCAAAAACTTATTCTTTGGAAAGAAACTAGCCTTAAACCGAAATAAAATGATTTTTTTCTTTTCGTCTCCAGACTATCTGTACTCTCTTCCTGTACAATATAACGAAGGAGAACGTCATAGCCGCGGCTCGACTGACCAACGACAACGCGCTGCAGCAGGCCAACGTGTCGGAGGAGGAAAATTTGCGGCATCTGATGCGCGTCAAGGTGAGTAATTGCATTTTCATTATCATTAATTGAGTCCGAGATGGGCGGAGTGATTTTTTTTTGTGTTTCGCCCGTCCCTCAGATAAATAAACCAAAGCCTGCCGAGTACACATACACAAATATATCGATTAATTGCCCGCGAAATATAAGCGCGTCCTCGAATTGTGCTGCAGGACGCGCAAAATTAGTCCCGTATACATCTCTCTCGTTCTCTCTCTCTCTTGTTATATCCCAGGGAGTGCAGGAAACAAAAGAGATTTCATCGTTTTATCTATACACACGAGAACCATGGATATACATATTTAAAAAAAGAAAGCAAAGAGCAAAAAAAAAATAGTGATATCGCTTTTATCGCTCTGTGCTATCTCTATTCATTCAACATACATCCACGCAACGAGCATCGTATATATATATAGAGAGAGAGAGAGTCGGCACGAGCGCGCGCGATGTTGATCGTAAAAAAAGAGAGATGGAGAAAGAAAGTCACCGGGCGCTATGTAGGTGGGTACACGCATGCACGACCACTGCATATATACGTGTGTGTGTGTGTGTGTGTGTGTGTGTGTGTGTGTGTGTGTGTGTGTGTGTGTGTAAAACTGGACAAAAAAGTGTGTGTGCGTGTGCCACTACACACAAAACAGAGAGAGAGAGAGAGAGACGGAATTTTTCATCGCTCGTAATATCGCGATAAAATCGCATTGCGCGCGCTCGACGAGAGGCATTATATATACGTATGGATGTACGTATACGTCCCCGGATCTGGAAAAATATTTCAATATATGTTGCGTATGTGTGTACGCGCGCCCATCTGTATATAGCTCACACGCGTCTGCATTTATAAATTTTTTCCCCCCCGCTTTTTTTTTTTTACTTTTTTTTTGACGTTGTTTTTATTATCCACTTTTTTTCGTCGTCGTCGTCGTCGTGTGCGTGGGCGTATGTCTCTATACACGAGGCCACTGTTCTCTCTGTCTCTGTTGTGTGTATTTTTCATTCGCTCGTGTCTACACACTCGCATTGTACACGTGTATAATACGGCGAATGATAAAAGCGAAAATCTCGAGGTTTTTCCAACTCATGGACTTGCTGTAATTGGTACACGCTACGTAGCAGCAGCAGTAGCAGCAGAGGTACTACTGGATGCTTTTTTTTTGCTTCTTTTTCTTTATCTCTCTCTCTCTCTCTCTCTCTCTCTCTCTACACGCAGCCCTAACCCACTTAAAACAAAAAAGAAAAAGGGAAGAGGAAGAAAGCACAAAGAGACGCTCGCACTTGGGCTTGCAGCAGGCAAGACAAATGAAATGAAATCGAAACCGATGAGCTAATTTTTTTGTTTTCTTCGAGTCTCCTGAAAGCTGCGTCTAATTCGCCTAAAATATCAACAATTTTACCATCGGATATCGATGCTCAAGCTATACACGTTTAAAGCAAAGTTTTCGGCTTTTATTTAGCAATGCACTCACTCTCTCTCTCTCATAGACTCTCCGCTCATTACGTATACAAGACTCGCTATAAAATTTTCAAGTTTTGTCGTTGATCTATAAGAGGATTGTCAATTTACAAATGCTCGAGCGAAGCTAGGCTACTGTACGCATTAGCCGGTACTCGTTGTACACGAAGTTTTTTATGCTATTTTGTCGACGAGCAGAGCTTTGGCTAATTTTCTATTCCACATAAGAAAGTTTTCGGGCCCTCCCGCCGTCGTCGTCGCTCTTCAAAAGTAATTTCAAAGTTTTGCGCCGGCAGCACGAGAGGAAGCGCGACCGATCGAATTACGCGCTTGAAAACGTGATCAATCGATTAACTCTTCTTCTTCTTTTTTTTGTCGTGTCGTGCTTTTCATCGCTTATACATATATCGTCGCAGAGATTAAGTCGCGTCAATTGAATACACTAGACTCTGCGTGTATCAGAGTGCCGCGTACGTAACGCGCGAGGTCGTTGACGTCGCATAAAGTTGGACTCGAGTGTGTGTGTGTGTGTGTGTGTGTGTGTGTGTGTGTGTGTATGCATAGCCCATGGACTCGGCGTTACTCTCTAGCACCAAACCTCGGGCTAATGACTTTTTGATAACGCAATTACGCATGCACACTGCAGCCCTTCGCACGTTAAGACTCTCCTCGAGTTAGTGCCGCGCGGACTTCCTTTTCTCAACATTTATTGTTGCGGCGTGAACGAGAAGAAAAAAATTGTTTCCTACTGCCATTAGCAATACCCGAACTTTATCCGCGCGCATTATTTTATCAAAAGAACGAGCTCTGCGATTAGAAAACGTCTATATATGAAGTATATACGTATCGCGGCGAGGCAATCGAGAAACGAGAATAACAGCTGCAGTATACGTCGGACTATGTCGGCTGGGTAGTTCGCGAGTAATCCTCCGCAAGCGTGCCCGAGTATGTGTGTGTGGAGTCACGAGAGCAGCAAGAGCACAGAAAGAGATAAACGAGTGTCTGCGTAGTGGTGGGTGCGACGTCGATTTCCGAGCTCTGCCAGGCCCGAGGGGTTATCACGTTTTCGACGATGTATCGCTATGGCGGCTCACCACTACCAGTCTACAACCCGTTGAAAGACTGAAGACTTTCAATGCGGTGGCATCGATATTTTTCTTACATGGCGGCGACGACGACGATGACGACGACAGAAGATAGATAATTTTACAAAGCTCCTTTTTTCGTTGTTTGGCCGAGTTATAAAACCAATTATCGGAATGGCAATTGTAAAATGAGACATAGTTTTATTTTTCAAGTTGACGCAAAAGTTTATAATTGACTCTCCATGCGTCGCAATCACCCGACATATAATTGCATGCAAAATATATACAAGTTTGTATCCTTCGGTCCAGAACTCTCGATCCCCGAAGATGTCGGAGCAAAAAAGAAACTGTCTAAATCCTCGCGAGAGCGGATATATCATTAGGAACAAAAAAAAAAACATTCGCAAAAAACCTCTTCAACGTCTGGAAACTTGCGCAAGTATATAAGAAAATTCTCAAATGTACATTTCTGGCCTCGTCGAAGCCGTGGCGCGTTCGGGTATTGCGCGCACGTGTGTGGGCTACTGCTGCTGGACTGGGTACCTCGAGGGACCTTCACTTATATGCAAAACTTTTCGTGACTGCGCGTCGAAAGTTTACATACACACACAGATATTTACGAGGTATATATACGAGCATCTTCGGCGTATCGATCAATTTATAAATTAAATAATCATATACCGAAGGGGCGAGATGTGCATAGTGAAATTTGATGGTCAGCTTGTAAAATAATGAACATCCATCTCTTTCGTGCGCACGAGATAAGAGAGAGAGAGAGAGAGAGAGAAAAAATAAGGTAGACGAGAAAAAAGGGAGAGAGATAAAGCTCTTGCTAGTAGACGCAAAGTCAAAGGTTACCTACACTCTGTACTCGTGCGCGCGGGAGAAAATAAATCAAAGGCTGTAGTAGTAGTAGATATATATCTATAGAGCAGCATTCGAGGATAACCGAAAAATGCTCAGGTGTACGTACTACCAGAGCTGGATTTTCTCGCGCAGGTCAGTGTATACTACACAGCAGCAGCAGCAGCAGCAGCAAAAATCGACTCCTCCACACACGATATACAACTGCTTTTACTGGGTGGGCAATATCTCGAAGAGCCGATCGAGGGGCAGCAGCAGCGGCACACGACGTACACACGCGTCGTCCGCGCGTCGGAATTTCTAGCTCAGAGCTGCAAGCTCTGCTGCTGCTGCTGCTGCTGCTTTTCCCAAATGATACGCGCGCGCACTTGCGAGGCCATGTAACGCTTCGAGATTACGCGTGTATAATGCATAGTGCAGAGGCGTATATATACTATACTGCTATACTATATACGCGCGGAGACGTTAATCCGCGTTCGGTCGTTATATACACGAGACGTACACGCTCGCACACACATACGTAACGTCGTAAAGAGGGAAAGCTCAGCGCTACTCGAGGGAATTCGATTGTGGCTCGAGATTGTTCGCCTACGTACCACTACTACTACTACTACTACTACTACTACTTGCAAGAGATTGTTGTTATTCATTATTGATTGTAATGTGACTTTACTGTGCGTTATAATTACCAACTGCACCGAAAAACGTTTGAACTGTACACGTGGAATTGGGGAAAATTTCGTTAGTAAATATAAGAGGGATCGATATTGGCGCGGTGAGCTTTATAAGCTGATATATAGCTTATAATACGAGCGGCACCTTAGCTGGCACGAAGCCAGAGCGGCACCATCCAACCAGCTAGCTAGCCAAAGCTAGAGAGAAAGAGTTGGGTTTTGCAGCATAGTATAGCAAGCTACCTCTTCCCACCTCTTTGCAGGCAAGTGTATGTGTATGTGGAGCACCTGCCTCTGCCCTTTCTCGCATATCGCGCGCGCGCGGCGTGGCGAGAAACGTTTGACGCTTTGCCATCTTCTCGAGCGTGCGGCAGCTACGCGTGTCTGTGTGTATATAGAATACATATATAAGGCGACGAAGAGGCTATGGCAGGAGGAAGGGAGGGAGTTGGATTTATAGAGAGAATAGCCCTCGGTGGCTTGGCAACTCTTACACACCCGTGTAAGTGTAAGTACACACACACACACACACACACACACAAGACCGAGCTTACTCTCTTTTTTTTCTCCTTCGAGATTAATGCAACTATGAATGCTTCAGGAGCTAGCTAGATAGGTATTGGCAGAAGTGTGTGTGTGTGTGTGTGTGTGTGTGTGTGTGTGTGCGTGTGTGCATCGACGAGTCTCGCGAGCAAATTATGTTACACCCGAGCTGTATAAGTTTTTTTTTTTATTTTGAATCGCGATAAAAATTCATAGAAGCTCGCATCGCTGATCTGCATTTGTGCATTGTATTGCTTTTCTATTGAGATAAATTATCTTCTTTTTTTTTTCGACGTTTCTTTGTTGGGATATAAAAAGTACCCTGCTTTTCCGAACAATGATTCGAAAATAGTCGGTCGCGCGATTCGCGCAATGCGATACGAC